TGTGTGTGTGTGTGTGTGTGTGTGTGTATGTGTGTGAATAGGTATATACACATTCACTTTGGAAACCAAGCCTGACCACTGATTCTTATATCCTTGTTTCTCAAAGGATCTCATTATTAAAATCATAATTGTATAAGTGAATAACATTGCTTTCCTCTGAACATGAATAATCACTTTAAATATATATTTTAATGTAAAGACAATTTTCATAATATGATTCAGTTTAGCACCTTGATATGCATTATACAAGAGGATATGATTATCTAAGGAAGAACAATTAAAAGATTGGAGGGGGCTTTCAAAGGGTAGTTACCTTTGTTAATAAAAATGTTGAGGGAAGAAAATTAAAGAGCTCATCATAGCTATGGTTTCTTAGTGGAAATCTGATATAAAATTTGTGTCTGGTATATTTGATTTCCAGCTTGGAATCCCAACTCATAGCAGCAATGCTTTGCCATGGCAAGAGAATGATCAATACAGTAGTCACATAGCTAGAGAAGCAGTCATTCTGTTCCTCATCCATTCTATGAATCAGCTAACTTTAAACTTCGCACAGGAATATAAAAATAAAAATAATGAACAAACAAAGAAGATGAGTAGGGGAAAAATTAGAAAGGACAAGAAGATAGCGAAGCTTCTATTTTACATTGTATGAACCTGTAATGTCTACCTACTGCACTGCCAAAGAAGAAAAATGGTATAATGGAAATCTCACAGATGTTTAAAACAGTGAAGGCAAAACTTTAAAAATGGCAAAAATATACCAGGATGTTTTCAGTGGCTGTTTTCAATATTCTTGAATTGTCATGGACGAGACACAGTTACTACTTTTAAATTTTATATGTACTTTATCAACAAAATCTAATAATCAAAGAAAAATTTTTACTTTATATATCAAGAATGCTATTTTCAGAGAAAATAAGTGACAAAAGAATAGTCTTTATAAAGAGAAATATAAGAACAAAATAGGAATCATTATTATACGTGATTTATTAAATACAGCTTCTTTATCTGACCCCAATATTTTGTTTATAACACCTAAGTATTTCACAGTAAAATTGTTAGAAAAATAACCAAGAAGCATGTATGTATGCACATGTATTTGTTGATGAATTGGCTCTCTTTATCTCTCTAGTTCTGTAGACTCATAGCCTCATTAAGAATTTTATGTGTAGCAGTAAGAAAGCATTGATTTGTGTAAAAATTTTCACAAAGGTAGAAATAGAGACTATTATTAAAGATTAAATAATTGTGTATGTATAAGGTTTTAGGACATGTCACAGTTATCATGACACAAAATATTTTTAAAAACATGCATATTTTTATCATTTTGCTCTACCTTTTGAAAGTTGAAAACAGTAGTCCTGATAAATCATATCTTAGTAAATATAATGTTTATATCAGGAGGTGAGATTGCAAAAATGATTTTCAGATGTAATTGAAATGATTGGAATAAAATACCACAGTTAAGGATGATTTATAAGGCCTGCATTACACTCACAATGACAAATAAATTTTAGAGTCTTACTTTCCAACTTTTTCTGTTGCTTTTTACATGTGAATATACCAAATTTAATAATACAATAGTGATTAACATTCCAACTTCCATACACCTACATTTAGTACCCAGGATCTAGTTTCTCATGGGCACAATGCCTTTCACAATCTGTTCGCCTCTCAAGTGTACACAGATAGTCAATCACTTTAATGTAAACTACCAAGAGAAGAAAATATACAGTCTATGAGATATGGTTATCATATGCTGAGGAGAGGAACAAGTATGATGAAAAATTTTGGCAGAAAAAAAACAACCCTCTCTGACATCCACAAAGAGATATGTTGCTTACTCAAATAAAAAAATAAAGAAGGACATTTAAAGCAAATTTAGTAGTAGTAGTTGTCTACTGACAATTCAGGGATAGAAAGACTTACTGGTTTCCCCAGAGTAAGATGATATTGTATAAACATGTTTTATTGATGTTCATATTCAATCTGCTATTTTTGTAAAACCAATCTTCAGTGGTTACTTCCAAGAAGATACAGATGAGTCTGTAAGTGAGGCATGAAATGGGAACTCTGCTTAAGCAGACTGAACACCTTCCATGATGGGCGTGATAAGAATTGATCATTGTTTTTTGTAAGTGATACAGCTAAGTGGTAAGATATAGGTATTTGATGTTCTGTGAGCTGAAGAAACAATAGATATATTTTTATTATATATTACATATATATCATGTATCTCATGTATCATGTATCATATATCAAGTCATATATAGGAGAAAGTTTAACACAGATAGAACGCTAATTCATTCATTTAGAATGTAGACATTTCTAATCTTAATGAAGTTGGATTTAATCACTTAGAAGTTAAGACCTTTGTGTCGTTTACTGAAGACATCTTTAATCCAGATGAGGACCTTTCCATCCTGGATACTCATGAGGGAGTAAAGGGCAGGTGCAAGAGCACAGTGGTTTGGGGGGATGGTCTAGGCAGCAGTAACTATTGTTGATTCATAATAATAGTGGAAAATTTCACATTCAAATGCCTTATCTAATAGGTGCTATACACATTTTCCACTTGTCTATTTTCTTCATAGGAACAATTGGAGGTTTATGATATATAAAGAACTGGTAATTTTTCTTCCATTTATACAGAAATTTAAAAAAGCTACAAATACCCTTCACTGAGGTAGATTCCATACCCAAAGGCAGAGTCCTAGACTTGAGTTATCTTAAAAATCAGTATATTTGTTTGTAAATCCCTATGTCCTATTTTTAATTTTTTCTTTTAAATTTTGATATCAAAATAGTAACTATGGTAATCATTTAATCCTCAGAACA